CCTCCGGGGCAGGCGGCAGGCGGGAATCGAACTCATGCGGAAGCGGCTTCAGATTCTCAGTGCTGTGCTTTAACCCGCTGCGCCACCAGGGAGGGCCTGACCTTTGATTATTGTTCTTACTCCATTCTTTAATAACTTGGTAAAGGGAAAATGTCAGTTATATTCCAGGAAACATTGCTTATGGTAGAAATAACTCCTGCTGGGTAAACTGTATTTCAAACAGGAGGAGCCATTTCTATGCTGACTGGGACCTGACCAGTTTTAGGCTTCTCTGCATGTGGTGACTTTTGTAACTGGGAATGTCTCACAGGTTCCCTGGAAGTTATGCCGATGGAGTCATTACAAAAGATTGTGCTGTGAGGCACAGGGTTTCTAAGCCAGATTGATTCCTTGGGTATAAATCTTATTGCCCCACACCTAAAATGTCATTTGGGGATCCCTGGGAAGCTGTTCTTCTTCACTAATGGCTCCAACAACTACCCAATGGAAGAGGAACTCCTCAGGTTACTGTGCAGCCAGGCTTAGCTCTGAGGAAATGGATTGAGTCTGATGAGTCAAAATGTTTAGTTGAAACTAAGAAATTTTCCTAGTCTTGTTCAAGATGTTATACTCAACTTGATTATTTGTGAGGTTTTTTTTTTTAAGATTTATTTATTTATACATACAAGAACTGGGGTATATGCCAGAATGTTGGGAGGGGTGAAAGGGTTTACCAGACAGAGTGGGGAGCAGAACAGGCAGATTAACTGAAGTCCACTGTTGAGGGGAGCAATAGGCAAGACAGGAGAGGTCTACTGAGCCATGTGGGTCCCCTCCCTGGTCAGGGATCGAACTTTTGCTGCAGTGGCTGCAGACAGCTTCACAGTGCTGTGCTTTAAACCGCTGCACCACCAGGGAGGGCCCTATTTGTGAGGAGTTTAATAAAAGTATTATTTACACTGATCTGGGCAGAGAATAGGGTGAAAACAGGTGCTCTCACTATTTCTCATTCATATTAAAAATATAAAGCAGGGCCCTCCCTGGTGGCACAGCCGGTTAAAGCACAGCATTAAGAAGCTAAAGCCACTTCAGCATGAATTGGATCCCGCCCCACATGGCACAGCAGACCTCTCCTGATCCGTCTGCTGGTCCCCTCAGCACTGTACTTCGTCAGTTTGCCACTCTGTCTCTGGTAAATCCTCTCACTGCCCCAGCTCCTCTAGCCTGTACCCCACCTCTGTATCAAGGACTTATGTGCACCATGACCTTGGGGACAGTGTTATTCTTCCTCAGCTATACCCAGAGAAATAGGTGATGAGCCAGCCTGGGCAAGGAGTCTGGTCTTGAAGGATTGGACTGGTTGAAGCATACTCCCAGAGATTCCATTAATTTGTAATTTGGGGCCTCCCTGGTGGGAAAGGGGTTAAAGGGACAGTGCTATCAAGCTATTGCCAGCCACTGCAGCAGGAGCTCCATCCCCAGCCAGGGAGTAACCCACATGGTGAGCAAAACACTCCTGTCTCACTTGCTGCTCCGCTCAGTAGTGTATTTCAATCCGCCTGTTCTGCTCCCCACTGTCTCTGGTGAATCCTCTCATCCCCTTGCACCTCTGGCTTATACTCCAGTTCTTATATGCATAAAAAATAACTATTTAAAAAATTATAATTTTTTTCTCCAGTCAATTTGGAACTTTAGGTGGCAAAAATAATATGGCAAGTGTTGTTTTCAGGAGCTCTGCTAAAAGAATGCCTTGGTAACCTCCACTGGGAAGAGAGATCGGCAGTGTCTTTGTTTAATTGGAGTAGCCCGAGCAATAAGAATCACTGTGATTTCCACCAGTTTGGACTTGGAAATGCAGCTCAGGCTTATTGTTAGGTAAGTGCTGAGAGTCAATTAATTTAATGGCTTTTTATTAGGAGTTCAGGTGCAGTTCAATTTACAAGTTTTCCTTTCAAAATCACTCAACCATTAAAGCTGCATAGTCTTGGGAGGCTTCGAAGGCTCATCATTGATAAATGTTTTTTTTCTCTCCACACATTTTCTCTCATGTTTATTCATGGAGAATGAAACAGCTTTTAATAAGCGCCCCGGTTTGGTGTATCTGGCCCGTGTTTCTAAGGTCGAGGAATAATGGGGATTTGAGACTTGAGGGCAGAGAGCTCCACTGGCCTAGGTTCCGGTTTCCTTGCTGTGGCTAGCAAGCCCGAGCCTGAAATTTGCTACCCCAAGGACACTACGTGGCACCCAGGCAGACAAGTTCTGTTGACCTGTTAAATTATATGAATTATATAAGAAGTTTGTCCTCAGAGCATGTCTTTTTATTCTCTTTCTAAAGTCCCCTCTGCTCTTTAAGATTCTCCAACTAGGCCTGCTCTGTGCGGAGAACCACAGGGTAGATACCTTTTGATTCTCAAATTTGAGTATCAACTAGAGTCATCTCGGGATAGTTTAGTGTTTCTGACTGGGTTCCAATGTGAGTGGAGGCTTCCACACCCCGAATAGTTCTCAGACACTAGCAGGGTGTCCTAGACCACCCTGTTACAAACTCAGTTCATCTCAGCTTCTAAGACTTCCCACTTCAGAGGCCAGCAACAAGCCCAATTATTACCTATGTTTCTGAAGTTCCCTTGACTCCCTCTTCAGTTTCAATTTTTTTTTACTAGGATGGATCACAGAGCTCAGGAAACCAAACAGGTTTCCAAACTCACTAGATTGCCAATTTATTACAAACGATATTGTGAGAACAGCCAGTTGGCACAGACACATCGGCGAGCTGGGGGAAGAGTGCAGAGCTCTCCAGCTCCTCCAGGCACAGGATTCTCCCTCAACCTCCAGGTTAACCAATATGGAAGCTCCCAAACCTCTCCTTTTGGCTTTTCTGGAGGCTTCAGGACATAGGCAGTGTGTATTAAATCACCAACTCCTGGTGCCTGAACTCTGATCTATTCTTTCTCAGCCAAAAATAGGGGGGTAAGAGGGGTCGGGGGTGGGAGGAAGGAAACAGGGCTGAAAGTTCTTCCCTCTATTCAAGCTGGTTTCCCAACCAATTAACCTCCATAGTCAGGTGTTTTCCAAGTTGCTCATTAGCATAACAAGACACAGCTTTAACACTCTTAACACTCC